CTGTGCTGTGGCACTTAGCAGCGTCACTGCACCACCAGCCCACCTTGTTCAAAGCAACACAGAGCCCAGCACCAGGAAGGGCTGAATATTTGTTGAACGAATGGACTATGGAGCTGGGGAGGCGCCTACCCACTCCACTTGGCCTTTCCCTTCCTTGCCCACCAATCTCCACATGTCACATAAGAGCACTGGCGGCCAGGGATAGGGAGTGGCTGGCCAGGGAGAGTGCTGGAACTAGAATCCTCCCGTGCACTGGTCAGTTTGCACCTCCTTCAGTCCCACGTCCAGTTCCAGGACATCTGCACTGCTGAGAGCACAGAGGTGGACACAGAGGCAGCCAGGCTCCCCAGAAACTCACAGCCGAGGGACACACGCGGAGGGGTAAGGCTAGAGCTCAGGCCCCAGAAGACAGACAGACCTGGAGCCCAAAGGTCTTTTCTCATTCACAGCAAGTCTAGGCTTGTGTGGCCACTGGATTCCACCAAACCAGCGCCCAGGGCCCTGCTCTCCTGCCCTCAACACACACAGGAGTCCCAGGCAGAGCAGGAGGGCTGGCTGTCATGCCAGACACCAGAAAGCCTGGGAAAGGAATCCGGGAGTGTGGAGTGCGCGTGGGAGGCTCTGGCAGGTCCCTAGTCCAGGCCACACTGCGCGTGGGAGGGGTGGGGGTTGGGCACGGGGAGGGGTGGGCTAGTCAGGGGTGGGGAATCAGGAGGCAGAACCGGGTCTGAAAGAAACTCTGGAGTGTAGCCCACGGGACCAGTCCTGGTGGTGGAGGAGGAGAGGTGGGGACAGAGGGAACATCCAGCCTGTGCCACAGCAGGATGCTAGCGGAGGTGGGGGAGGAGTTTCCCCATTCCCCAGGAGGCAGCTGGAGACATGGGGGAGGGGGATGTGAGCTGTAGGTTTGCAGGGGAGACCTGTGGGCAGAGAGGGAAGGGAGGCCAGGAAGGGAGTCCTCCCAGGGCCAGCGGTGGGGGCAGTGATTCTCTCCTGAAGGCACCTCCAATCCCCCCCCCAGCTCTCCTGAGCAGCATGGAAACTCCTCCCACCTACCACAAAGTTTGGTGGGGCAGGACCTCCACAGCGACTCCAGACTCTTGGGTTTGCAAAAAAAGAAACCAAATTCAAATTGGCTTGGGCAAACCCACTCACAGGACGGAGAGCTCAGGCCTCAGCAGGCCTCTGCCTGGGACTCCACGCCATGATATCTCCAGGACTCATCTCCCATGGTCTCCGGGTTGGCTTGATCTCAGGCTTGGTCTTATTTTCTCCCAGGGACAGATGTTCCCTGCAGCCACAGCTGCTGCCATTTTAGACCCCCCCCCAGGGCTCCCCAGTCATTCCAGCCCCCTTCTCATGGCCTGAAATAAGCCATGGGCCCATCCCTGGCCCAGTCCCTGGAGCTGGGGAAGATGGGAAAAGCGTATTGGTTAGTTTTTATGCTCCACAGGGTCAAGTGTGGGGTTAAACCCACCACAGTCATGCGGACTGAAAGGTAGAGGGTTCCCCAAAGGAAACTGAGTCACAGTTTCTAGGAGAGTGGGAGATAGGCTCGAGCTGCATCTAACAACAGACATCTGCTCTCCTGTGACCTCCAGTGGGATTCGGGAGCCAGGGGAAGAACAGCCCCCACTGAGGGACTGTGCCAGTCCCCGGGAGGCTTAAGGGCCCCTTTTGACTTAGTGAGGGGGAGAGGCGTGTTTGGGGAAGACTGGAAAGCAGGCCGTAGAGACAGACAGCAGGAGACGGGCTGGGAAGGTTGGGAGAAGGTCCCGACCACAGGGAGAGGAATGGGGTTCTCTTGATAAAACTGTCCTTGCAGCAAAGGGCAGAATTTCATTCATTCATTTATTTATTTTTGGTACTGGGGATTGAACCCAGGGGCCCTTAGCCACTGAGCCACATTCTCGGCCTCTGTCTTATCTTTTCGTTTAGAGACGAGGTCTCCCTGAGTTGCTTAGGGCTTCGCTAAATTATTGAGGCCAAGTGCAGAGAAGGGGAGAGTGAAGAGTGGCCTCCCTGGCAGAAGGTCCAGCAGGAGCGAATGTATAGAGGCAGAAAAGCAGAAGATTCTTGAAGAAAAGGACATGCTGTATGCATGCGGTAGGCTTGCCCTTAGTTTTCCGTCAGGGAACCCAGATGTTCCTGACAGACCTGGAGCCCAAAGGTCTTTTCTCATTCACAGCAAGTCTAGGCTTGTGTGGCCACTGGACTCCACCAAACCAGGGCCCAGGGCCCTGGTTTTTGTCTGAGAGTCTAACCAAGACCACAGATCACAAATTCCTTGGCTTAGCACTAAAGGTCCTCGCTTCTTGCTACAAACAAGAAGTTCTGTTTCCTAGGGACTCTGCCAAGGCCATTCTTCTTGGAGACCCCTGAAGCTCCTCCTGATAGCCTTCATACCACCTGGTAAATTTTCCACTCTGAGCTCCCGGAAGGCAGGGCTGTTTCACCTCTGAGTCCCCAGATCCTGGTTCCCACTTCTGAAGAAAAAGGGGTTCAAGATAATGCTGTGACATTTATTTAGGGTGTGCAATGCTAAGGCTGAAGTGAAAATCTCCAGGTTAAGAATTTCAGACAGTGTTGGAAGAAGGGGAGGGACATCTGGGGATAGGGCCCCTCAATCCAGATGACGGGCTCACTTTCTGCACACTGCTAGCTCCGGTTGTGGGAACACAGAGGCTAACTGTGACCCATTTGCTTTCTCCCAGGATCCAACTTTGTTTCCCATGTCACAACCAGTTTCTTAGAAGTAGCAGAGTCTTAGCTGGCCCTAGCAGCTGTGATTTCCAAAGCAGATACCATTTATCGAGGGCTACTATGTGTCAAGAACCATGTTAAGTGTTTTATATGTATTTCTTCATGAAGTCCTCCCAAACAGGTAGGTATTTTTAATATGTGTCTATTTTATAAATGATGAAACTGAGGCTCAGAGGCAGTAACTCAAGTATTGACAGAAGTGGGATTTACACCTGGATGTCCTAACACGGGGATCCCTGGGAAGCCCTAAGGTTGGACATGTTTCCAGTGCTGAAGTCAGGTCAGGCTAGCACAGCTCTCTCTTCCTGCAGTTCCTAACCCCCAAAATGCTGCAGCCCCAAACTTTTTAGGTTTCACTGCCTTTACATTTCTGGGGGCCCCAAAAGTCTGAATGGGAATAGACCAGCTTGCAGAACAAGGAAGAAATGAAACTGACTCCCCAGATTAATTTCTTCTTTCAGTTTGGCTGGGAAGGAGGGTGGAAGAATTTGGGAAGCCCCAAATCCCTAAATTTCCTGGCCTCTACCTCCCGGTAGAGAAACTCTCCAGCTCCCCCTAGTGGTCTTCAATACCACTGTGTTCTCAAGGACTGGTCCTCAGGGTACCCTGACTGGTACATTCTAATGCAGAGTTGGGGGAATAGAGGTGTCTTCCTTTGGGAGGAACCTCAAGGAAATCCTCGGTACTGGAACCCAGAACTCCTGGCCACCAGCCCTTTCTGCATATCCCTTTCTATCCCTGTAGCCCTCCATGTTATTTGATTGACTCAACAATTGTTCTAACATTTACCATAAATGATGGAAGTACTACATTACAAGTTCAGTACACCCCAGCATATTTGATGTGCTGTGACACTGTATTGTGTATTAGTCTTCCGCCAGTCAATATGTAAAGCGAGAAGTTTGTAATGGCCAATTCTGTTGTCATGAAAAGAAATTCCAACACCTCTGTCACCTCTACCTCTATTGCACATTTCAAAGGCCAGCTTCTCTCTTCAGCCTGCTGTTCCTGAGTGACCAGCTTCCTCCAAAAACTCAATCCCACCATGTCATCTGCAAGAAGGTCAAGAGACACAAGGAGATTAAATCCCTTGGGACACAAATGTTACTTCAAGTAGGGAAGGTGACCAAGATGAGCGCAAACTATGAAATGCAAAATGCCCTTCAGACCACCAGTTCTTCTCGTGGCATACCAACAGGAAATGACAGCAGCCTGGTGCCATGGCACATGCCTGCAATCCCAGCAGCTCCAGAAGCTGAGGCAGGAGGATCACAAATTCAAAGACAGCCTTGGCAACATAGCAAGGCCCTAAGCAACTTAACAAGACTCTGTCTCTAAATAAAATATTTAAATAGACCTGGAATGTGGCTCAGTAGTTAAGCACCCTTGGGTTCAACCCATGGTTAAAAAAAGAAAGGAAATGTGAAATGATAATAGGAGGGGAAGGAGTGCCCTAAGGTGAGAATCCTGCAGGGCTGGAGGATGCACAGGTATAGGAATTGCTCACCTTGATGACTTGGGATGGTGGGTTGGTCTGATCTGGTAGCAAAGGGCTGGTTGGAATGGGCAAGAAGGGAAGAAATCAGGAACCTCACCAAGCAGGGGTGACCTGCCTCTTGGATATCCTGGAATTAAAATAAGGGGCAGGAGCACTAACAAGGTCTTGATCCTGAAAAAAAGAAAGGGGTACCTCTTCTATTGTCCCCCAGATGCGCTGGTGGAACCTTAGAACTCAGGAGAAATGGAGCCCAAGGTGCCATGGGTGGCGGACAGAAAAGGGGTGAGAGGCTGACTAGATGCAGGAGCAGAGGAAGGGATCCAAATGTCCTGCACGGGATGCAAAGTTCCACCCAGGCGCCCTGATAAGAGCTCAGCAGGATGCCTGCAGGGTCTCCAAGGCCGGCTTTGCCATCTTCTTGGAAAATGGAGCCTAGTGGGGCTTGGCCCCTTGACTTTGGCGGAAGGCGAAATGGGCCCTCACTGTGAATCTGGAGAAAGGGAGAGAAGGGCAGCCCCAGCTCCACTCCACACCCCCTTCCTGCCTATAAATAACCCAAAGTGTCACTTCAAAGAGGACAGGGAGCGCGGGAGAGGGGCTCCCGGGGCGGGCGGACTAGGATAGCGGGCCTGCACACCACGCCCCCCACCCGGGGCGAGTTTGCATAAATAAACAAATCCAAGCAGGAGGTGGAGGGGGAGTGGAGAGGAGGAGGAGGGAGGGGGCGGGAGAGATTAGTTTGGGAAGTAGCACGGATTGCTCATCCGATCCGTGCAGCCGCAGAGAGTGTGTCAAGTTACAGAGGCGCCGGAATCTGTCCCAGCGCTCCTCGGCAGCGGCCACGACCCACCTCTGCCCATGGGGCCCTCCATGTGCGCCCCTGCACCCGGGGACTGAAACTGGCTCTCCCGGGAGAGGCAAGACATCCAGAAGGACCGACAGCGCGGCACCAGCTGGAGGACTCTGCAGACTCTTGAAGGGAAAGACAGGCAGGGGGCCGGCCAGATTACCTTCACTTTCCTGGACTTGGAGCGTTCTTCCAAATAACTTTTTTTTCCTCACTTTGGTGTACCCCGATTACCGCTGGTTGTGATTTTCGGCTTTCCGCCTCCTACTGCTAATTTTTCCGTCCTCTTTGCCGGAAGCAAAGGAAAGGGACGTTTTCCAGCAGCACAAGCCCTTTCCCCCTGCCCCACAGTTTGGATCGCGCCTTTCGGCAGCGGCTCTTACTTTTATTTATTCTATTTATTTATTTATTGGTTCTCAAGACGCGAAGGGATGGTAGCGGAGCGAGCCCGCAAAGCGGCCACCGCGGCTGCCCGCGGCCCGGGAGAGCTGGGCGCGCCCGGGACAGTGGTGCTGGCGGCGGCGCGAGCTGAGCGCTGCGCGCGGCTGCCCAGCCCAGGTTCGTGCGGGTTGCTGGCGCTGACCCTCTGCTCGCTGGCCTTCAGCCTGCTCGCCCACTTTCGGACCGCGGAGCTGCAGGCCCGGGTGCTGCGCTTGGAAGCAGAGCGCGGGGAGCAGCAAATGGAGACGGCTATTTTGGGACGAGTCAACCAACTGCTGGACGAGGTCTGTGCTCTTTGTTGCTGGCTTTTATCCCTCCCCGCGGCGCCCCCCTGCGCAGGCTCTAAACTGTCCACCAGCCTGTGCCGGTGGGTGCTCACCCTCCGCGCCGCCGGGTGCGCCCTGGGCTAGCGCGACTTGTCCGCGGGAGGGGTGGGGGCACACGGCGACGCCATCTGGCCAGGGACCCGGAGAACCTGGTCGGCGTGGGCTCGATCCCCGCTCCGCTCTCAGCAGGCGCCCCCAGTGTCTGGCCCTGGGCGCGCCAGGCAGGTGGAGAAAGGCAGGGCGCACGAAGGCGGGCCAGCTCCACTTGATCCTCCCGGACCCACCGGGGTGGTGTGCGAGGCCCCAACGCCCACGCGGAGGGTCGCATGCCAGGCGTGGCAGCCAGCCTAGGCTGCTGAGCCCCCGTGGTCTTCCCTCCACCCTTCCAGGTTAGGTGCTGCCTATTTTATTGCCACAGTGGGAAGAGGGAGTGAGGAACTGAGTCATCCAAGGGTCTGCGGGGCCAGGGGACAGTACTCACCGGGTGGAGGGTGGAGGGAGTTTGTGATCGTCCTTGCTCATTGGTCCGGCCGCTTGGGCCCTAGTGTGGGTCTCCTGGCTCTGCTGTGGTTGTGCATGAACTAGCCCATATCGTCTTGTTTCTAAGCTGAGTTTCTTATGCAGGGCCTTTGGAATGGTCCCCAGCTTTTTTTTTCTACTGGGTAAATGATACTGAGCTTTCTCCCATTCCCCAAATTTCCCTGATCCAAGTAAACCCAAAGCTGATAGCGTCACTCAGCCATGGTACTCTTGGGAGTGCATGAAGAGATGGTGCCTCCCCAGAAGGAGGGACAGGCCTTCACCTTGGGCTTCCAGAGGAAAGTTTGGGCCTTGCTAGAATCTGGACACCACAGAGGATCCAGAGCCCTGTGGGAGGGAAGGACAGGCAGGTGAGGGCTGCAGTAGTCTGGAAAGTGGTCCTGGGACAGGGTGGCGGTGGCAGGTTTCCATGGGGAGAAGGGGGAGGAGGTCTGGTCCCTAGTAGGAGGTGGGGTGGAACCGAACCGTGGAGAAAGGCAGGGTGGTGGCATCTCGCCTCTCTGGGTTTTTATTCCTGCTCTCCTACTTTGGAAGCTGTGAAACCTGAGACAAATTCGATGACCTCTCTGAGCTTTTGGAATAGTAATGATGATGGCAAACCTCAGAGCCCGGCTCTAACAGTGGTGAATGCTGTGGCTACTTAATTCCATACAACCTGATTTCTTTGGGGGTTCCTTTGCCAGAGTTCTCCAGGCTGGTCAGGTAGGGGGAGAGCCCTGAACTTCACTGGGCCAGAGCAGAAGGGCAGCCACAGGGCAGTGACTGGTGCTAGTCATGCCACCAGGACTGCTGCTGTCAGCTCATTCCCACGCCCTCCAGGCCCCAGGGAATCCAGAGGACTCAGTCAGGCCGCCCACGGTCCCCTGCCCCCAGGCGGAGCAGCGGGAGCCAGTGGCCTTCACTGGTTGGTGAGTGTGTGAGGGGAGGGTGGAGCCAGTCGGTGCAGCCTCCAGGTATCCTGAGCCCGGTGGGTCGCCAGCAGAAGCATCTGGCCCTGGAGCTATCTCACTTTTCCTCTCCGCCCTATCCCTTTCCTGTCCCTCCAGCTGGTCACGGGAGCCCCAGCCCTTGGCAGCTCCTGCTTTCTCTGCTGAAGATGTAGCCCCACCAAGTCGCATGCTCTCCTCTGGGGGGGGGGTCTTGGGACTAACCACCTGCCATGCCCACTCTTCCTCCCCGAGCACCCGCCCACCACCTCCAGATCTCATCTGCAGAGCTGAGCGTCACCCAGAGATCATCTAGAGTGGCCCCTGCTTTCCTGATGGAAAAACTGAGACCCAGAGAAGGGCAGTAGGTGGCTCAGGGTCACACGGTGAGATCCAGGACTCGAGCCTCCGGACCGACCTGGAGCAAAGGGTTCTTTGGTGTCCTGGCAGCTTCCTGAGAGCCAGCTGGGGGTCGGGCGCTGGGGGAGACACCGTCTGCCTCTTAAACTCAGTGGTAAATGGGACCCAAAGAGAAAGCGGGAGGTGAGCTCGTCATGTCGAAAATAATGACAGAGGGGGACTGGGCACTGTGTTCCATGCAACGCCATTTGATGCTGGTGGCGGTTATGGTGGGCTTCCGGGGGAGTGATTTGAAGATGTGAAGGGTGAAGAGAAGTTTGCCAGGGGAAGAGGGCGAGTGTGTGGGCTTCCGCTAAGGGGCCAAGCGCCCGCTTCCCGAGGCTGGAGCCAGAGAGCAGGGTTTTCCTCTGGACGCTGAAGAAACTCCAAGCCCCCACGGGCTGGAGGGCAGGAGAGAGACAGGTGCCTGGGTGGAGAGGACCCTGGGGCAGAGCTGCGTAAGGGCAGCGGGGGCCACTGCTGGGCTTCTGTCCCTGGAATGAGAGCAGAGGGGTCAAGCCAAAAGGGTGCTACCGCAGGCGGAGGGGATGGTGACCTGGAGTGGAGTGGAAACAGGATCCCAGGGAGTGCCTGGGCGGGGTGGCTGCCGTGGTGGGACCTGGTTCTGTAAGAGAAGGTGCTGGAAGCCAAGGGACAGAGCTGTCCTGTGGGTGAAGGCCTGGCCTGTGGGGAGGGTGGCTAAGTTCTAGGGCTTCTGAAGGGCCACACGAGGGTCACGGGGTCCCATACAGTAACCACTAGTCACATTGAAATTAAAGAAAAGTCCGATTTTAATTTCCAGTCACACCAGCTCCCCTTTGAGGGTCAGAAGCTGCAGCAGCGCAGCAGGGTCACAGCGCCTGCGCACGCCGGTGAGCTAAAGGACCAAGAACAGGGTTCTAGCCTGGCCCTGGTCCTAGCCGAGCCAGGCCACCCCAACTGACCCTTTAGGTTTCTCTTCTGTAAAAAGCAGGCCCTGCCCGCTCCCGGGATTGCTGAAAGGACCTCAGGGGATGGCAGCTGGGAGCCCACACGGGAAAGTGCCCCCAGCAAGAGCTAGCAGGAGGAAATGCGTGCACCCGGGTGCGGCCCAGGCCTGGGGCAGGGGGCCTCAGGGACACTGCCCTGAGGACCTGGCCACTCACTGAAGGAGGGTAGAGGGCCTCAGGAGGGACACCCTGGTGAGGCCCGGCCTTCGCAGTGGCCTGGAGGCTGGGGCTGCACTCTCTGCAAGGCAGGGGGAAGGGGAGCTGGAGGCCTGGCCAGTCTGGGGGGCCCCCGTAGGAGAGGAGCGGAGGCAGAAATGAGGGGCTCAGCACTGAGGCTGTGGGTCAGAGCCAGGCGAGGAGGACGGGGGAGCTGGAAGTGTGGATTCCAGACGGGGGCCCCAACTCTCCCGCCAGCCCTCTCTCCTGGTCGGGGAGCCTTAACGAGCCCTCCAGCTGCCTGTTATTTGATTTGCTTGCTGTGAAGAAAGAAAGTGGAATGTCCCAAATGGAGAAAATCAGTTGACACCTAGGACTGGGCAGTGGGTGAGCAGCGAGAGGAGGAGGGACTTGAAACCAGCCAGATCTGTGTGGAAGGGCCTGGGGGCGTGGGGGACAGTCTGGGCAGTCATCTCCCAGGTCAGTTTTAAGGGCTATCGGGCAGGATTCCCATCCCTGATAACAACAGTGGCAATAAGATGCCCTGGTGTCCCAGGGTGGGCCCTTCAGGGCCGACGCGAGGCTGTTACCAGGACAGCTCTTTCCACCCTCACAGCTTCCAGAAGGATGGCTGCTCTCCTTAGCCTCTCTATGGTTAAGAAGACCCACATCACCAGCCGCCACACTGTTGGTGAGTCCTTCCTCCAGGCGTTGAGGATCCCCTGGGAGAAAAAAGTGGCCAGAACTTCCAGGCTAAAATGTTGAGGACCCGGGGCCCTAAAAATAACCACGGTGATAGGAATGTCCTAGAGTCACAGCAAGGGCACAGGGGCCTCTTTCGGGTCCTTTTCCAAAGAAGAATTTAGGAGAGCAGTCAGTGGCTTGCCAGGCTCTGGATGAGGTTCCCTGGGATTGAAGTGGTGGGATGAAGACGGGCACAGGGTGGCTTGCGCAGTGTCTTTGGTGGGAGAACCACCACTGGCTGGACCTCAGGAAGTGGACAGACCCTAGGTCCAGGCACCCTCAAGTGCAGCCCAGCACACCACAGTGGCAGTCCCCAGTCGGGTCCTCCTTCACTCTATGGCTGGGAAAGAAAAGATCCAAAGGATGCATGGGCTGGCTTCAGAGGAACCGGGAGTCAGAGCCAGCCGGCAGTGGACCGTGAGCCTTTCTCCTTTCCACTTAACTCAGGGACCAACACATGGCAAGTGTACCCTGCTCCCCATTTCAGGGCCCTCAGCAGACATTGCTAATCAATTGCAGCACACTCTCCCCGCCAGGCTCACCAGCAGCCCCAGAATCCTGCTGGACCCCATGTTCCCAGAAGCCATTTCTAACTAGGGGACCAGTTGGTGTTCAGCTCTTGATGATTCTAAGTATCTTTGTTTTTCCAAATACAAAGCACACTTGCGATGGGTAAAGTCGTGGAGAATCCTTACAGCCTTATGGCTTCTCCAGAGACCTTAAAAAAAAAAATAGCAGGTAACTCCAAACCAGACGGAGGACCTCATTATGTAGCTGGAGGTGGGGACAAAAGCAAGGTTCCATCTGTTACAATCGGATCACTCCCAGGAAGGTGTCTTTCCCCTTTTTCTGAATCATCCTAGATTTGACCCAAGGCCTCCCTAGAAAAAGCCTTCTCAAAGCACCCCAACCCAGCCCAGCTCTCTCCCTGCTCCCACTTCCTGTGGCTCTTCCTGGCTGACATTTAACTCCCAGAAGGAGCTCAGTGCTCTTGGCTTCCCTGCCCAGACCCATGGCAGACATTACTAATCGCTGCACGCACTGTCTCACTGAACCTAAATGGGCTTCAGGATCCTTCCCACACCAGGCGCCAGGCTGCCACCCTGGGCCCACTGCAGTCAACGAGCAAGGTAAAGTCTGCTGCCACCCACGGCTCAGCCCCAGCCCCACGGTGCCTTTAATGTCTCATCTCTCCATGTGGTCA